GGATGCGGAGGTTCTAGGTGACCTACCCAAGCAGGTAGCTGACACCATCACTTCGGCGCGAGCACCGTCTACGAGACACGCTTACGCCTTGAAGTGGAACCTGTTCGTCAAGTGGTGGTCTTCTCGCCGATCAGGGTCGTGCTTTCCTTTTTGCAGCAGGGGTTGGAGCGAAGGCTGTCTCCCTCCACCCTTAAAGTCTATGCCACTGCGATTGCTGCTCACCATGACCCCGTGGTGGGGAAGTCGGTAGGGAAGCATGACCTGGTCATCAGGTTCCTTAGGGGGGCGAGAAGGTAAAATCCTTGACGTGATGTTGAGAGTGACCGACTGAAAGGGAACGTCTCGGTTACGTATGTAACCCTCGTTCCCTGAAGGAGAGAACGGAGATGTCACATCCCGTCGCCACAGCTGCTGTACCACCGCTGAGCGGCCGGGTCACCGGCTCGGCTCCTCAGCAAAAACGTGGTATGCGTTGCATTGGCTGTCTTTTTATGCTCACGCTGTGATCAGCGGCAGCTGGATGCAATTATCACATGCCAATGTCCATTGGCTCGTTTAGTTTATACTCTAAGTAGATTGGTCTCTCGAAGCGAGATCCCAATTCGTCGGTCACTGACGTGACGTCTCCGTTCCCTCCTTCAGGGAACAAGGGTTACATACGTAACCGAGACGTTCTCTATTCTTTTTCTGTTATTTCGACTTTTCTTTATATTTATAAAAAAATAAATGACATTCTAACACTAGTGTTCTCTATTTCTTTTCTATTCTGTCTACTTGTTTTATTTTCATTTATTATAAATAATAATAATAATAAAAATAAGAAAAGCTTGCCACATGTACTGTGTTAGACTAACCGAGACTTGTCACAGCACTTACATATTATTGCTCTTTTGTTGGTTTTGATTGCTTCTATTGTCCTCATTTGTAAGTCACTTCGGATAAAAGCATCTGCTGAAAGACTAAATGCCAATGTAACTTCACTAAACGTGGACACATGTACATTTTGTGTGTGTGGAACAGGACCTGAAGGAGCCAACCTGTTCATCTACCACCTGCCACAGGAGTTTGGGGACCAGGACATCCTACAGATGTTCATGCCTTTCGGAAACGTGGTGTCTGCCAAAGTCTTTATCGACAAACAGACCAATCTGAGCAAGTGCTTCGGTATGAACTGACAAGCAAACACTCCTGGGAAAGACAAGACAGAATATACCAGTAACAGTTATTTGCTTATGGCTTACAGCATTTAATTTGACATTAAACTAGTCATTAGACTACAACAATTGTTGCTTTGCAAAACTGAAATAAAATTTTGTTCACGCTTAGTCTGTAATGCTATGTTTCTAAATACAGTTTTATGCTGTATTTCATACTGTCATTTAGTTTTTGCATTTTGTGTTTTACCACCAAATATGACTTGATTAGTCGAAAGACATTGTGCTCTTCCTATATCCCTTTCTCCTTTTCCTCTATCGTAGGTTTCGTCAGTTATGACAATCCTGTGTCAGCGCCACCAGAGGGAGCCACTCTCCCATAATCTTCTTTTCAGCTTTTTTTTATTAATAACAGTATTATTTTGTCTCTTTTTTTTCCACATGAACGCTTCCATTTCCGCCATTTTTTTGTATGACTTTTTGCGATGGATGAACAGCTATTATTGGTCAACTTTTTTTTTTTTCCGTTTGAGTCGTGTAAACTATTTGATTTTTTTTTAAGTAAATATTTATACAATGGCTATTTCATTCTATGATGATAACAACAGCAGAAAGAAACGATGTATAAAGTATTATTTGTTTCTCTTTGTGAACCTGAGGCTTGTAAGGACAAGTAGAGAAGGTTCCGATATGATTAAAGCACCAATATGCACATTAACCTTTGCCCTTTGGCCTCTGGTGTCGGTTCAGGGCTTTGCTGCTCCTTCGAACCCTTGGCCCACTGGCACTAGAGAGGAAAGGGTTAAACCCGCTGTGGCCTCTCTGTAGTCAACGGCAACAACTGCCTAAACAGCTTCCTCAACAAATACTTGCCGTCAAATGTTCAGTGATTTTTTTTTTCTTTTCTTTTTTCAGTCATTTTTTGTCAGTAAGGGTTTTTCGTTATTGTTGTTTTTTTTTGTTTGTTTGTTATTTAGGAAAAAAAATAAGTCCGAATTTTATGCGTCAAATGATTGTGGTCTTTGTCCAACAGAATTTGTGTAGAGCATTAAAAAAGATTTTAATCTGTCGATGGTTAAAAAGAATAAAGCATTCTAGATTCTATGTGGAGGGGTGGGGAACTGAAAAACTTGATGTTTATCGAAAGAAGAAAAAAAAAACTTAAATTACCGAAAGCCACAGGCCTGTAAATTTTATTTGTAAAAAAATGCAGTTCTATTTTTATACAAAATTTCTACTGCCTCTGAAGTAAAGGACTTTATTTATTATCTTTTAAGTTATTGGTTTTGGAAAGTCGTGCTCTCTCTATCCTGAGCCTCGTCCGGTAGTCTTCTTAAACCACACAATCTGTTGTGTGACGAGAACACAGAATCACGTACAAAGCCCCTCTTTTTCTTTCTTTCTTTCTCTCTCTCACCTTCCCTCTCGCCATTTCCCACAATTCCATCCATCACGTCCCCATCATATCTGTCTCGACTCTCTCTTCCTCTTCTCTCTTTCATCATAAGTAGTGGCACTTTATAAGTGAAATCTCTTTTTCGTTTCATTTTGTTTCGTATTGTTTGGATTTTGTTCGTACTCTCCAAAAACCCCCTCCCCCAAAAAACGGAATAATCTCTCCCAAACGGCGATCCATCTGCGGTCTCGGATCAGGATGGATACTTTTGGGTGTATGGAGGAGATGGAGTGTGTGTTTGTATTCTCTGTGAGCGAATGCCTCATTTACGTGTACATGTTGGCAATTTATTCAAAATGTGTGTACTGTACGAAAAAAAATGCTAATGTGATGTTGGTGAAACGCTGGTTAATAGAGCTGCTGCTGTTGTTTGTTTGTTTGTTTTGTTTGTTCGTTTGTTGTTCTCATGGTTTAATGATGTTAGTTGTGTGCCGGAGCTGTGTGTGTAACTCTCCTCTCCCGTTTTCTTCCCTAGAACTCATCTCCATGACTCTATGCTCATCGTTTGCCTAGCATGTCTACGTGGCGTACAAAAAAAACCCCGTCTCATCGTCCTGTCATTGTTTCTGATGTCTTTCTGAGTTCTCCTGCTCATAATCTGGTCTCCTTTTACTGATCTTTGTACTTTGATCTTAGCCTGATCTTTTTGGAAAATTTTCGCATGTGACCTCATTTTGAGCTTTTTTTGTTTTGTTTGTTTGTTTGTTTAGATTAACTGGTGAGGGAGGGAGCGAGGGAGGGAAGGTAGGGAGGAAAGACGACAAAAAAAACAAACAATAATAATAATAATGTGAAAACGCTGCATTCACACTCTAGAGACAGAGTATATTTACTAACATAACCAGAGCATCATTTTAAGAAAACAAAGAAAAAGAAAAAAAATCCTGTGGCAAAATATTTGCGTTTGACTTTTTTGTTTCTTTTTTATTTGTCAGATTGTTTTTGTTTCTCTCGCTCTCTCTTTATGTTGTTGTTTTTTGTTTTTCATTCATTTAAAGTAAACTTGAACGTTCAATACAGGGATTGGCGTTGGGACTTACTGTCGGCAACACTCTTAATTTGAGGCCTGCCGTAAGAAACCCACGCTGGTTTCTAAACGAATAGACTACTTCCACGCAGTTTTAATAAAAAAAAAATTAAAAAAAGCTGTCTGATCGATATTAGAATCTCTCAGAGCTTGCTCGTGGTTTTTACATTTTTCAGGCAGTGTAAAGTTTTTTGATAAGGCCATTTTAAGTGGCTTGATTTCTCATTAAAGTCTATATAAAACCACTTTTTTCTAGAGTAGTAAAGTTATTAAAAACACACACACAAACACACACACACACACACACACACACACAAGACTGCCCTGTTTGGGGGGAAATGCTACCTACGTGTCACACCTTTTGCTGAACTGACTTACAGTTAGACAATCCGTGGTTTAAATGCACATGAAATTACCTATATTTTATACTGTTTAAATGTATAGAGGAAAAAAAAACAGAGTTTGTGTAACCCGCGGTCCCGTCGGTGCTTTTCGTGGATAAAGTCGTGGTTTCATCAAGTCTAACAGTCTTATTTGTCTCATGTTTTTAAAGAGAAGACTAAAAATCAATTTACTTGAACAATAGACAAAGCCTTTCATAAGTACTATTACTACTACTCTTTTTATTTTGTTTGTTTGTTATTTTCCTTGTTTTTTTATTATGAATCTTTTTTGTTTTTTTGTTTTTGTTTTTTTAGTTTTTTTGATAGGAGTCCCTCTGCTAAATTTCTTGTTGGGTAATTAGCTATATAAAAATTCTTAAAAGTTACAGTGTCGGCTTGTGAAGCATCTATGTCATTATATTATTTTATTTCTACTGTGGGAAACAATATTTAGATGTGTTATGTTGTTCAGCAAAATGTGATTTTTTTTTCTTATAAAGAAAAAAACAAGATGAGTGGAATTTAGTGCCAAATTCTGACGGTACATCCTGCCTACAGCTTCAGTGTTTTACTTGTGAAATTATTTGATAACATGGGTATTTTATTACGTAAGTGTTTTGTATGGAACCCTCATATTTAAAGATATAGATTTAAAAAAAGGTTGTTAACTTGCTCTTCTGTGGTCTTGTTGCCTGAAACTGTTCATGTTTTTGCTTTTCTTTCTTTTTTTCTTTATTTGTAAAGATGTAAAAAGTGCCCATGTGTCATTATCGCTCTCACAAGCACACACACACACACATACATTCACAGGTAAGCACATACACACACACATGCACGCATACACACACCTGTGCTAAAGGTTGACCTCACAACCCTCTTTTCTTTGACGGTGTGTGTATTTGAGCCCCTGAGATTGAGTCTCAGCAGTTCTCCTTATACACACACACTTACACACAATTGACCACAGAAGGCCCAAATTTGACAGGACAAATTCATCTGATACATCATGTTTGTCGGTAAACAATTTTATGTGTGATGAGACAAAATATTGACGTATTTTTGTGAATCAGGCGTTGAACTTTTGACCATCATAATATAATACAGGACCATCATGACAGCCACATAATCATTACGAAACAGCTGATATGTATTCCTCAACGTTAAACTCGAAACGTCTCAGTGTAGTCTCGCTTTCTGCTGCCTTTATCAGGACTATATTACGTTCGTAGGACAACCAAAACTCTGTCCTGATGCCAAAGTAGTTCAGCGTGATCCGCAGTGTTCGATAGCGCCTGTAGCACTTTGCTGTAAACGTTTACACATCGTTCGAACGGCCCGTAAAAATATTGTTTACAAACGTAGTTTACAGGCAGCCCCCTCAAAAGCAGTTTACTTCACTCTACAGCACTATTTTATACCCAAGCTCTGCCGTTGCCTTAACATGTCGATCAGTATTAATGGGCTGGAATACATTGCTGCACATTTAAAATGTGTGCCAAGGTTGTGTGTGTGTGTGTGTGTTTTGTGTGACTGCGTACAGATGGGTGTCTGTGCTATGAACGGTTGTTCGTTGTCTATTCGTCCACGTTATTTCTAATCTTTAGCCAAAACTGGATCTGCCAAACTTTGTGCCAGTTGAAAAACAAAAGTGACTCATTCATGAAACAAGAACAAATTTGCCTAAATCATTCGTAACGATTTTTATTTGAACTTTCATACAAGCAGAACAAATTTCTGTAAATTTGCGTAAATTGTAAACTTAAAGTGTGTAACAAATTTCTGTGTGTATCGTACATTGTACATAAACTGCGTCTTGCGTGAATTACATGCAACCATTTTAAGTACATTTTTGCACAAGACTTTTGAATTGCGTGAATTGTGACCTATGACAATTCTTATGTAAATTGTCGTAAGACTTTCTGCACATGCAGAAAGAATTTGTGTACGTTGTTCGTAAAAAACAAATGTCTTAAAACCAAACTGAACTTAACTGACCAATGGCTTTTGTTTGCGCACGAGAAAATTTCGTACGAATGGTTTACGTTTTACGTGTCTTTCATGAAAGAAGCCCAGAAAATGGAAATGTTTTCCTATAAGTTCCCCCTTAATGATTAAGTTTCGTATTGGGAAGTTAGAGTCGGTCAGTTTATGATTTACTGTTCTCTTTGCCAAATCGTATAACCACTAGCACAAACACAAAAGCACATGCGCACTAGCACAGCGTTAACGCGCAGTATTAAAATTGACGACTCTTTATGCTTATCCAGTACAGCAGTCGAGTCAATTGACTTGCTACTTAACCCTCCCGGAAAGTTGCTGAAAATTTTGTCCGCAAGACCGATCCTGTAAGAAATTATAATCATGCGAAATTTTTCATGGAATGCATCTTTGCTTGACCTCATTTTTGATTCGTTTGACTTGATGTAATATCGCTCTGTAATGAACCGCAGTTTTTACCTCAGCACAGTGCCGTATCAGGGCTTCTAAAATATCGATAGTTGTTCATTTCCATCTCAG